GTCCAAAATAACCTTTTGGTCATACAACAGAATATTATGTGCTCTAACAAAACCTTTTGGTCATCATGGTTTTGTCAATCAAGTAAGAGGATCTATATGTATTGTGAAATAAAATTCTAATTATACAAATAGAATTGGTTGGACGTGATTAGTGTAAACTTGGTTAATAATCACTTTATCTATTTCAAAATAATAGTTGTGTTTTTTAACAAAAAAATTAAAAATTTATAAATAATTTGTTCTTTTACTTATGTGACTCTTGATAGATAGATAAAAAAAAGGTAATATTTTTTTGTAATAGAATAGACAATTAAAATCAATGTATAATGATAAGGTTAAAATTACTAAAACAATATTTATTTTTCTTAAAATATAAAAAAATGGCATTTAATCTAAAATAAATTCTAAATTGAAAAATTATTATTATTCTAAAATAGCTAGAAAAAAAATGTAAAATTGGCATTTATAAATAGAAAACTAATTATTTTCATATTTTTTAATTTTAATTAATAATCTGATTTATTTTATTTGGTTGTTTTGTGCCGGTGGAAAATTGGGAATGAAACGCTTGAATTAAGTAAACAAAAATGATATAATTATAATATTACATAATTTGTGAATTTATAACTTTGATGTGTTATTATATAATCAAAAACAATATACTTATGTTAATGAATTAAAAAATTCAGTGATAAACTCCTTTCATTAGAAATAAAAGATTTTGAATTCGAGTCGTATAATATATGGATGTGGTAAGTTAGATATAAGAGATGGCTATCTTTTACTGTGCAACCTAGATAAAAAAAAAAAAAAAGAAAAGAAAAAATGATATATTGACAATGCCACATGGGATTGTAAATTTACATCATAATATGTCGTTATATAATTTACTTTTTTTATTTATGGATCTACATGTAATATTTTATGAATTTATTCATTTAATATTATATTATATTTATTTAATACCATAAAAATTATAACCTCATATAAATTTATGAGTTTACAATCTTATATAACTTTAAAACTATAACATTATCGTTATATAATTAACTTTTTTTTATTTGATTTAGACATAGTATTACATGTATCAAGTTCTTTACTATCAAATCATTATGTTTTATTTCGTATCTTGATATACCAAAGATAAAACTCAAGGCTAATATGAGTAATTCAATTTCCAATGATATCATCTACTTTCATTTGCTAGAGAAAATAAGATCACCTTATTGAAATTAATTTCAATTTGTTCCTTAAGTAGGCTTTAATTAATCAATAAAATTTAGTGCTACTGATAACTAGACTGAAATCAATTTGGATTTGTTTCTCTTTTTTTTTTTCTTTAATTTTTCCCATCCTCCACATCTCCCTTTGTTAACTTAAAAAAAAAAAAAAATCAGAAAAATTATTCCACATTTCCCTTTGTTAAAAAAAAAAAACAAAAGAAGTCCAGATAAGATATTATTTGATCGAATGATGCCTTTGTTTGTATGGACTTCTAATTGGATCGGATTATTCAATGTTGAAACATTGGATCCATTTTGTTGAATTGGGCCGTCACTCAATGAGGACCATAAGCAGCCTGTTCTACTATTCTACTCTAATTTCCATTTATCGTTTTGCTTCCGTCTAATCTTTTTGCCATTTCTAGTCTAATTTCCAATACCACTCTTCTTTTTATCACATAAAAACTCAGTCATTTACCAAAAAAATAAAAAATAAAAAATAAAAATTCAGTCCATGTGCTATTAAAAAAATATTATTTTTGAAAATATTAATTTTATTTAATTTGATTGATAAAAACAACTAATAATTATGACTATTAATTAATAACTAATAGAATAATTTATATATATTAGTTAAAAAATTAAAATTAGTAAGTAAATTGATACTTTCAAATACTAATTAAGAATAAAAACTAAAATTTTAGTAA